GGAGGGAGGGAGGGAGGGAGGGAGGGAGGGAGGGAGGGGAATTAAAGGAAGGAAAAGGAAGAAGTCTGAGGAGGGATGTAGAGGTCAATTCAATTAGAAACTTCAACTAGAAACTTTAAACTTCAATTAGAAACTATGACTTTGTGTGGCTGTCTCTTAGCACTAAAGGGAGGGATGCTAGCTCAGGCTCATTTCTCTCACTGGGGACTCGGGTGTTTTCTTAACCTTAGGCATCAGGTGGGCTTCATGAGATCGATTACTACTGGAATGCTTCTTGTTTGCTGGTCTGACTGTTTGTTTGTTTTGAAGGTTTTTACATTTTCTGTCATGGTGACAGAGAGCTAGGAGATAGCTACAGCTTAGCAGAGACGAGAGCTCTAAACTTTTATAGAAGAACAGGCTTTTGTTCCCAGCACCCACATGGCAGCTCACAAGTGTCTTCAACCATAGTTATAGACAATCTAAGGCCATTTCTGGTCTTTGTGGGCATTAGGCATGCACGTGGTACACATACATACATACATACATACATACATACATATACACACACACACATACAAACATACATACATACATACATACATACATACATACATACTTACAGGTAGACACTCATATACATAAAAATGAGTAATGCCTTTTTTAAAAGCTAGTGTCTCACCATTATTAGCTGTGTATAGTACAGAGAGTATGTGACCTACATAGTATAGTTTAATTATATCTAAGTATAGGTATATAGAGAATAAAGTTGTTTTGGGACCTTAGGAAAAAATTTGACTATGCTGTTCTTCTAAGGGAATTGATAAGGTTAAGAACCTTTTGAAACCTCTTCTACTTTAGTTGGAACCAGAATTTAAGTCCCCATAATTCTGGACTGACCAACTCTGTCCCTGGCATCATTATAAAATTTAATTATTATTACTTTTAAATTTTTTTATGTATATGTGTGTGCTTATGTGCCCTGCATATGTACAAGTGCCCATGAAGGCCAAAATGTTTCAGATGCTTTGGAACTAGAGATACAGGCACCCAATAAGGGTGTTAGGGACTGAACTAAGAATCTCTGCAAGAGGAGTAAGCACTCTTAACTGCTGAGCCCCCATTTCTGTATCATTTTTATCTACTGAGTCTCTAAATAAAGGTCTGAGATAATATACAGTATTGACTACCCCACTCAGTCTACTTGATTGCTCATGGAGGCCAGATGAATACCTGTGTTTCAAAGATAAGCTGACCAATGTTGCTTCCAATTTTAAGTAACTTATTCAGAGGTTGAGGTAGTAGTATAGAGCTCGGTGGGGTCACATGCCTGTGGGAGAGACCCTTGAAGGAACTGGGCACACACTTTAATTTCTGCAGGTTGTTCCGACCCAAGAGGATAGATGGGGAGAAAATGATGAGGGTGGGGTCCTCATGGAGCTCATACGAGCCCTTTCTTCCCCACTTGTCTCTTTCAGAGTAAATAAAGTACAAAAGACATAGGGTGGATGCTATACCAATAACACTGTGCCCAACCGACATAGAGAATTATACCCTTTGCCAGCTCAGATGAGCAGCTGCCAGGCCTTCCTAGGGAGTCCCTGAGCTGGCATCCATCTCCACATCATCTCAGTTCAGAGTAAATTAGTGTCTCTGACTAGAAGAGGATGTAGTTGTTATTGCACTTGGCATCTACGGATTTGGGGGTCATGTGGAAAGTAGGAGTTAATATGCTTCATTCTCTACAGCCTGTGGCAAGGGCTGATTCGTCTCTCTGTCTCTGTGTCTAGAACCTTAGGGTCATTTTAGGATCTGTAGACTTCTTATAAAGAACTAGATGGTGTTTGTACCAAAGCTTAGCAGGAGGCTCAAGGTAATATTATTATTACTATGGATCCCCATCATCTGTCAGATAACTGGCTGCAGCTCACCCTTGCTGTTCTGTGTGTCTGCTCTTGTCCCAGGCTAGTTGTTTCTCTGAGTGTTACCAAAGTCCAGCCAATATGCCCTAAGTCTATTTCTTCCTTGAACTTAGGAAATGTTTATGTTCTACTTTTCCAAAGATAGTGAAGAGAAAGATAAGAGCAACAGTCTGAATAAATCCACATTAAGCACTCACTTCTGTTTAATCTCCTTTCTCTGTGCTGGACTCCCGGAAAAAAAATTATCTTTTAAGAGCTGTTCTTTAATACCATACGCTTCTCACAGAAATACCACAAAGAATTCAAATCCTGGTCTTTGTTGCAAAGTAGCCAGGGTGTCAGTCCCCATCTATGGGCCCCTGTCAGGGTGTGTGTCAGGATCACACTGAGCATGCTTCATATCCCTCACAGGGATTTGCCTTTTACCTCAAGAAGATCCAAGATTGTACTGAAATTTGAGAAGTCTTTTGGGCTCTGTCCTTCCCCCTCCTCATTGCTTGCCAGGTAGTTAGATGGTGAAGTTCTGAAAGTTTTGTGATTTTTTTCTCTAAGATGTAGAATAAAACACTGAGTTATTTCTGATCAAATATTGGCTCAGTGCATTAATTTGGAAAATACATTCATGCCCCTCATTTGGTCTTCATTTTCCTTTGAGATCAATAGCCTGCTTGAAATGCAAATTTGTGAAACTGGCATTTGCCATCTCCATGCTTGGTCAAAGGGCACTGACCTTGCTGAGCCTTCAGCCCGCAGCTTTCTAGTAGAGCCTGAATTCTGAATTAAGGCTTCACAACTTCATAACAGTGCTCTTATTTTTTTTCTTGCTGACCCTTTTGATTTACAATACCCTTTAAATAATAAATGAGACAAATCTGACAGGCACTCCCTGCAAAAATACTTTGTTTATTATTTTGTTAAAGAATGACAAACACAAATACCTGGAAATCTAATAGAAAACAGAGGTTGGCCAGCTGTCGTCTAAAGTAGCCACAGATACAGGTGGAAGAGAGGTGACCAGATGAATGGGTAGCTCCACCCACTGGAAGACAAAGCCTGTCTTCTCTAGAATTTAAAATTCAGGAAGCTTTTCAAAATCCCTTGTTGCTGCTCTTGTAGCCGTGTGAATTTAGTCCCAGCTGGCAGGGTCATATCTGTTGTGGATCCTTACTTCATTATCTGAATGTTTGTTTTCACATGAGGAAATCCCAAGAAAGCCCTGAGCATTGCCCTGACTTCATCCTTTTGGTATATATAAGAGTCTCAAGCAAGCTTGAAATAGCTAAAGGGAGATGCTACCCTGGGGTCAGTGGAGGTCATCGATCACTGTGGGCTCTGACCAGTGTGTTTCTTCTCCTTTCTCATTCTCCAGAAACAGCATTGCTGCCTCCGCTGTCTGTGTCTTCAACCTGAGCGCCATCTCTCAGGCCTTCAATGGACCCTTCAAGTACCAAGAGAACTCTCGTTCAGCCTGGCTGCCTTATCCCAACCCCAACCCCAATTTTCAGGTAATCTCAGGGGAAGAGGGCATTACGAGTATCCTCGGTTAAGAATGAAGAAACTCAACATAATGAGCCTGAGCAATTAAACCCTGGCTACATGCACAGTACAGCAGCACTCTCCTGCCCCCTGCGGGACAGCACCATCCTGGGCTTAGCCAGTATCAATAGAACACAGCCTTTTGTGGACTATGGCGCCTAGACAAGAAAAGGGAGGCCTTTTGTGGGTTGTGGTGACTGATCCTTAACTGAAAAAGGACAATCTTCTGCAGTAGACTAGAAATCCAGGCTTCAATTAGTGCTAATAATGATGGGCTGTGTGCCCCAAATCTCTGATCCTTAATGAATGATATTCCAATGAATAGGGCCCAGGGCACAGAGCAGTGGGTCTTGACAAACAGAATTTGAGCTCTAATTGGCAAGTATGGAGAGGCTTCCTGTTGGGAAGGTGAACTGTGGCAGTGGCTGCTGGGAAAGAAGCCTGACTGGTACCAATTCATCTTTCGGTCACCCAATTAGAATGTTCAAGCTGTGATGTCTTTGTGAATCATCCCACCTGCAGTGCTCAGAAGAAGCAGAGACCTGGTGATGGTGCTGTTTATTTTGTTTGTTCAAACCATAGCTATATTCATCTGCTTAAGCTACTGTAACAAAATACCACAGTTTAGATTGTATTTGAAAAAAAAAAAGAGCCCCCTGTTTCATTCCCAGTTTGGGGACTACAAGATCAATGTGACAGCAGGATCATTTTCTGGTGATATGTTTCTTGCTTAGGGTTTCCACTGCTGTAAAGAGACACCATGACCAAGGTAATTCTTATAAAGGACAACATTTAATTGGGGCTAGATTATAGTTTCAGAGGCCCAGTACATTATTATCATGGTGGGAACCATGGCAGCATCCTGGGAGAAGTGGCCAGAGGAGTTGAGAGTTCTACATCTTGTTCTGAAGTCAAATAGGAGAAAACTGGCTTCAAGGCAGCTAGGAGAAGGGTCTCAAAATCCACCCCCACAAGGACATGCTCCCTCTAAAAAGGCCATACCTGCTTCAAAAAGGCCACACCTCCTAATAGTGCCATTCCCTGGCCCAAGCGTATTCAAACCACCACAGGTGTTGAAGATGACCAGCTTTCCCTGGTATCATCCCTTAGAAGAATCATCACTGGTGTTTCTTCCACCATTACCCTGGGTCAGACTCCTATGGCATCGAATGCTTCCTAGAGGTCCTGTCTTCAGCTACTGCCATGCTGAGAGATAGATTCTACATAAGAATTTGGATGCAGCAAACACAAGAGCAGCCTTCCCTGTAGGCCTGTTACTACCAACACAGGCAACATATTTAACATCATCATGTTCCAGACACTTGGTCCAATGTGTCCCCTGTGTAACCATACATGTGGCATCAAGGCCACATGAGTGACACTGTTTTATGTACAAACAAAGGCATAGAGTCTCGGGGAAGGACAAATAGCCAGGGCCACAGCTGCTTAGTGATTAAGCTGGGATCTTACCTCTGCCAACGAAGGTAAAATCCTGATCTCAACCAACCAAATTTCTGTTAGCAGCAATCACTGACTAGTGATATAATTGAGTCCATTCTTCTAATTTCAGTTGGTTTACCATCCCAAACCATGAAACCCATGACTTCCAAGGAAACTAGGCTTTAGAAAAAGTTTAAATTTTTACATGTATATTTTGGTAAATAGGCATCAATCAATTATAATTGAACATTTTTCATTTCAATATTTTAAGACTTTCGGCAGAGGATGGGGTGAAGAATAAGATAAGTAGTTTGTGTATCATATTTGCCCTTTACTGCCTTCCTTGAGCAAAATGTTTAGCATCTTTTCATTACTTCCTTGATACTCGGGGGAGGGAGGGATACAAGTAAACTTTGGAAGTGTCAGCCAATGCACATGGTTACTGAACATTTGATTGAAAAGACTCATGAGAACAATCTGTCTGGAGTCTTCTGTGTCCTTCATGTTGAGTAATTACAGATTTCAACTGGATCTTCTATTCAGTATAAAGAAGAAAACATGTTAACACCTTCAAAATTCTGTTTTATTAAGACCTGTAGCTTAAGAAAATGAACGAGGAGCTTAGATTTAGAGCATCCTCCATTGCACCGTCTGTTGGATTGCAGCGTTCCACAATGCACTGGGTGATTCAGCAAACTTGAGATCCTTTACAAACTCCAAGCAATGCGTACCTTTTAGCTCACGCACCTGGATATTTCCATAGCACATCCAAGTCCCCTCATGTGTTACAATACCAGGATAACACTGAAGGACTTGCTTTCGTTTGTTAGTGGAATTAGGTCCATGCTGAACAGTGAAGGGGACATGCACAGAGGTGGCACATGTGACAAGCACTAAGCTGGTTCAGCTTACGTCATCCTCTGGGCATACATTTAACACTTCCAGGAAACTAAAGCTACAGGTTATGGTGGTGGTGTGTGTATGTGTTTTCAACTACAGATATGTGTTTCCATTTCTAGATTGTGTTAATAGCCACATTGTCATAGGTTCCTGACTGATGATTTGAGCTCTCACCTACACTAGCAGAGAGTAGAAACTCATTTTCAACCAACGTTCCCTCCATTAGACATCCCAACATTGACAATAACTAATAATAGTATTTATATTTATTGTTATTATAGTTGGTTTGGTTTTCCCTTTGACAATTAGAATTTTACGTGACACTTCTACAATAGGAAAAAATGAGTTAACTAGTAGAGGAACTGATTCAGGAGAAGGCGTAGAAAGAGAAATACGTCATACCTCAAAAGCTCAGTAAAGCCCACAATGCAACAAAAGCTACTAGTCACTCTTAACAGCTACAGTCTCAAAGCCACCCTCTGTGGCTTTTGTCTGCCCTAGGAGAAGTAGGAGATCTTAAACCAAACAAAATCATCAGTCACTTAAAACACAGTGCGACACAGTGGGAGAACAGCTAGGTGACAGGCTCCAAAACCTTCCACAGGTTTTATTACCAACAATGAGAAGTATGCAGCCAAATGGAAAATGTGGGAGTGCAGGAGCAGTTGGGTAAGACTGCTGGGGACTGAGGCTGAGATTTAGCTGTATCCACAAATACACACATGTCTTGGCAGCAAAATGAGAAAGAGCAGGAGATCCAGTGGGCCTAGACACCATGGAAATTATGTAGTCTGGGATGAACTTGGCCCATTTTGAGCTTGACCTTCAAGTATGGGTGTCTGGAACAGGGATTAATGTGCTACCCTTGAAATATATAACATATGAGCATTTATTATTTTCCTAGCTGTTACAGAATTACTGATCTTGTTTGAACAGGCATTGGCACGACAGCTATTGAAGGCTGTAAGCCACATGAAAACACAAGTGATATGTGTTCCCCATTTTTTGTGGTTTATTTTTGTATGAGGGTCCTAGGGTAGCAAGTACCTGAGTGTAACCAGGACAAACCAGTAAGTAAGGCTCAGCTCAAAATTTTTCAGCCCTTAGAGAGCTTAGTGAGTTGTTATGCAGAAAAAAATACATGCAGTAATTTTGAACAGTTTCCAAATATTGGAAAGAGAATCCTTGGGTGAGATATTTATTATAAGATGGTAACAGAAAGAAGCAATAGAAAACAGTTCAAATATAGATGGTGATAATACAGGCAAATAGCTCAGAGGAAACATGGTCAGTTTTAGCATTCCAATTGCCCCTTAGGCTCCTATAACTGTTTTTCAAGGGGAGTGGATGCCATTGCTTTTAGACTATAGCTGCTAGGTTTTGGCATGCCATTTATCTTAAAACAGCATGTACATGTAAATGTTGAGTCTATGAAATTGAACCCAGTACGTAAGTCACTGTTGCTACCCATACCTCAAGTATTGTTTTTGACTTCAATACAAGTTGACCACAACATATAATCACCTTCAGCATTAGCTGTCACCTGGAATAGTTTCAGACCAAGTGGTGATCTTTTTTACTTTAAAGAACTGTTTCTGGGGGCTTGAAAATACAGCTTAGCTGTTAAGAGCACACATTGCGTTACAGAGGACCCAAATTCAATTCCCAAAACCCATATGAAGAGCCTCACAATCACCTGTATGTCAGCTAAAGAGAGATCTGACATTTCTGGACCCTGTGGGTACCTACCCTCATACGTATACACACACACACACACACACACACACACACACACTCACAAAAACATACACTCACTCAAATACAAACATTCACATATACACACACTCACACATTCACACATACACTCATACACATACTCACATGTGCACGTACACTCACACACACAAACACTTAAAAGTAATATCAATTAAGATATTTAAAAGCACATACAGATTTCTGATAGGCACCATGTCCATGCTTAAAGTGTTATTATGTAAAACTGCTATTCATATAAAATCTATTGATACAGTCTTCACAGATCCCAAAACAAGTGCTTGTGGAATTATCTGACCATCTATCTGTCCACTTATTCTTTCACTTATTTCTCTCTGGATATGACAGTTCCATGGGCCATGGACATCCTGGCTGCTTTAAGACTGATGCATTTACAATTGGTTGGCTAGCTTCTGAGCTATCAGGAATGTTGTCTTATTCCTGGCATTTACAAGGACTTTAATTTATAAATGCTATCTTCCCATTACTTCACATCACATGAGATATGAGCCGGGAGCACAGCCGGCGTGTTCCAGCCATTTAACATTTGATGAGACAAACTAAGAGGCTGGGACTCCCTTGAGACCACAGGTCATTATTTTCAGGCCTCAGCTTTACCCTGAATACATCCTTTACATGATGTCAAGGTACAAGGTGCTCCAAACTAGGATGTGAAATTAAATTCATCACTCGCTAGTTGTGGACAGTGCATTTAACTCCAGGTTTCTCTAACTCCACGATCGGCCTATCATTTTATGGCATATAGGATATTTTACCAAATGCTACAAAAAATATAATTGACTTTCAAAAAGTAATTTCCATCTTCTACTCCTGGACCTCTAACCTGTTATAAAAACCATGTATTGGAAATGACATGTTATAAATGGTAGTTTCAGGCCGTGTGGACCCCATCACCCCTGCTCTAGGGAGAAGGGCTGAGAAACCTCATTTCCTACACCAGCCTTTAAAGTTTATAAAGGAAATGAGAGCAGTTGGTGGTAGTTTTCTGATTCTGAGCTGGGCTCTGAGAAATCTGTGCTCTTTCTCACCTGCCCTCTTACCTTGTCCTGGCCACCTCCTGCTGTTTATAACACCTGCCAGCATCCTTCTACACAACTCCACAACAGTCTGGGTTTGTTGTGTATCCCAGATTACACTTATAATATTGACACTTCCTGCCAATCGTTCCTTCCTTCCTCTCTCTCCATCTCCCGCTCCCCACTTTTCTCAGACCTCTTTTCCTCACTGCTTTTCTCTTCTTTCATTACCACCTTGCTATCTTATGTTGCAAATTCCCAGGTTCTCACCTATTGCCTTCAAATCTCCTGTAATCAGAAATACAAATAGATTTAGACCAGCCACAGTATTTGTGTAGCCCATATAAGAGATATTGTTTACAGATTGAGATAAACACAAAGGTATCACCATGGAGTTAAGGGTTGCTTATGAACCAACCCACTGTGACAGCCAGAAAATGCATACATCCATAGGAGTTCAACTGTTTCATGTTCAGTGTCAGCTCAGCTTCATCAGTCAGATACAATTGAATTGCAAGTCGACAGACAGCTCCCAAGAGACCCAACACACCAGAAGGAGATTCTCTGCATCTGGTGTTCAAACTAGAGTCAACAATAGTGTGCCTGCCCCATTTTAGAATGTCTCATATTCTCTTTACAATACATGGAGAGATTATAGATTTCCATCTACAATGGGAGAGAACAGGAGGCATGAGAGTTAAGGGAGATGGAGGGATTGATTCAGTTGTACACTCACTAATGCATCATGGCTTACTCAGCTTGCAGCTTGTTCCGTTTACCCCTCCATCTTGTAGCCACATGAGCTGTGGGCATCCAAGTGGCCAACTTTTATAACTTGGCCTGTCTTCTCTTGCAGTGCGGCACCATGGACCAGGGCCTGTATGTAAACCTGACGGAAAGAAACCTACAGGATGCTCAGAAGTTCATTCTGATGCATGAAGTGGTGCAGCCAGTGACCACTGTGCCCTCCTTCATGGAAGACAACAGCCGCTTCTCCCACTTGGCCGTCGATGTTGTGCAAGGCAGGGACACTCTGGTCCACATCATCTATCTGGCCACAGGTAGGAACTCTACCTTCTTGTAGATGGTTTTCTTCTGTTTTCTCATTCAAGATCTTAAATTCCAAACACCTTCAAGTGCAGCTGTGTGCCTGTGTTGTCATGACAAGTGGAACCCACAACGTATGCTTATTCTTGTCAACCTACCCACTCTTCCTGGATAGCTTACTTGTACTATTATATAGGGGTTTGTTCTGATACTTTGATTTAACTGGTTATCTGGGAGTACTGACTCTAAAGGCCCTGCTCCCCAATTGGTTCTTGATCCATTAATAAAGATGTCGGCCAATGGCTGGGCAGAAAAGGTGGGATCTCCAGGTTCTCAAAAGTGGGAGATGCAGGAAAGAGTTTCACTACCGTCCTTGGTGGGAGCTGGAGCCACCAGAGATGTAAGAACTCTGGTAAGTGGCCTTTGGCCACTTCTTCCACTGGGCCTAGGATAACAGGAGAAGAATTACCTATGCCCAGTCATTGCTAGCCAGGGCATTTTGAGAATAGCTGGCATGCATGGGTTCGTGTGTGTGTGTGTGTGTGTGTGTGTGTGTGTGTGTACGTGCATGTCTGCTTCTTCAAACCAAAGATCCAAGATAACTCCTAGGCAGGTGCAAGCCTGTGACCTCCTGAGAACACAAGGCAGGGTAGCGAAAGCTATGTGCAACACTCTTGCTATACTGTTAGAATTTTAAGTAGGGAGACAATGCCTCCTTTCTTAACTATTTTTGTTCATCAATGGTTCTTGGCATGACTATCTACATTTGGCTAGTTTAAGACAATGGAACATTTTATTAGAAGAGACTGCTGGGGAAAATGTTTTCTGGAGATTTCCATGCTGATTTCTAATTGAGGCACAACAATGCTCATCTCAAGCTGTTCCTGATAAAGGTCCATGGAAACATTTGAAGAACGAAGCATATGCACACGGCGTTTCATATGTAGGGCAGGCGATGATGCTTATCAAACTATAGATAACAACCAAACTTCTTTAGATTCCAAAGTAAATTTGGAGCAGAAAGCATGCTCTATGTTGCTTTATTACTCTGACAGCGTAGGGTGCTATCTCTGCTTCAGGAACTGTCTCAGCTCCACCTTCCTAAGCCCCAGACAGAGTGATTTCACTGTGGAATGGGTTCCTGCCACCCTTTGAGTAGTGTAGTGTATAGTTGACACTTCCTTACAATCCATGGTTACCTTTTAATGTGGTCGTGAATACTGTATTATTCCTTCATAGAATTTCTCAATTTATATTGGTTTATTCATCACTCGTGAGATTGCAATGATGTGTTGTCTTGCCTCTGGCTGTTGAATTCATTTGCACACTGGTTGTATGTGGTGAGCAGACTGGTACCGTCTTGCCCTCCTATGACTCCCGTTCGTAAAGGTACATGCAGATATAAACCAAACAATAATTAAAATGCATCACCAAAGTAGTGATGAAGAACCAATGAGATGGGAGCCAGAGGAGGAATGAGGTGATGGGTGTGCCTGGGGGCAGGTCCTGTTTCCTGGCTGGATGGGGTCTTCCAGTGCCAGAAGCATTGGATGCTGCGCACTATAGAAGGAAATTGTGAACACTGGAGATGCAGGGTTGGTTAGACTGGTCCAGTGCTACTGAGTGGTCAGCAATGAAAGGAGAGAATTAGCACCACTGGATGAGGGCATGAATGGGTGGAGGCCAGTCAGTAGAAGACTGGAGAGTTAGCAGAAGGATCATAATGACAAAGTCATGTGACATAACTGCTCAGAGTAACAGTTTGCAGAACTGACTCAGAAGAGGGATGAGTGATAAGGTATCTAGTTTTCATTGGAAGTCAAGAAATTCTTCTTCTTCTTCTTCTTCTTCTTCTTCTTCTTCTTCTTCTTCTTCTTCTTCTTCTCCTTCTCCTCCTCCTCCTCCTCCTCCTCCTCC